TCACTTATGAGTTTATGTTCAAGTGGCATCCACTTCAATATAAAAGCTTTGAGTTTATCATTCTTAATAGCTGAATACTCCATTGTGTAAAAATACCACATCTTTTTCAACCATTCCTATCACAAATTGTGCTGCTATAAACATAGGCACACATGTATCACTATGGTATGATGTTTTCATATCCTCTGGGAAAATTCCCAGTAGGGAAATAGCTGGTTGATATGGGATTTCCAGTCCAACTTTTCTAAGGAGTCTCCATACTGATTTCCATAACGGTTGCACCAGTCCCCATTTCCTTTTTTGTAATGACATATTTCTGAAATTATGAAAGTCATATTTCTTACCCAATCCAAACTTTACCATGGGACACCAAAGAGATATCAGGGAAGAAACCTTGACCCAGACACTACAAGCCCTTGGTGGGGCCTTGTACTTTTCCCTGTCTTAACTATATGTTCATTAAAGGTGAACCTTGCCTTTAGAAAAAATGGCATCCTGACAAGTGTGGGGATATTGTGAATTCAGTGTTAGATTGGTAGACACAAAGTGAGATGATGTTGCCCTAGGGACAACAAAACACTTTCTGAGAGTGGAATTTATGGCAGCCAATATCCAATCCTCTGTTTCTAGATGTGCTCTTCTCTTAACTTCCACTGCTTAAGACAGTGCAGGAGAGATAAAAGTGAGAATTTTAGTTTAATCTTTCTTCTAGCTCCTGAAAGTGATTAAATAATTTACTCCTGTGAGACATCCCAGAGAATAAAGCAGAAAAACAATTGGTGAGAATTGCTGAGGGAGGTGGTATTTTGTACTATGGTGTGGGAATTTCAGGCTCATGGCATGCACACCTAAACTCTCACTAATAGAATTTAGGAGTGAGAGGGTGGCTGTGGAATGCATAGGAATGCACATATTTTATTTCTTAAAAAAATAAAATCAGACTTTTCTTGACAGGAAGTAAATCTGGTTAGACCCTTCTGTTCATCAGTGAGGGTAGCTTTGTCAGATTAAATAGAATGTGCTTTCTGCAAACTAAGTTATGTGTTTACAATATGTTAAGAGTATACAGTAAAATAATCTTACTTTGAAAATGGATGGATCTATTGGCTTTCTGTGGGAGAAAAATAGACCCCAGTGTTGGGAACTAGTTCCTGTCATTTATTGGACTCTGTCAGTGTGAGATTTCTTCTGGAGATGAGGCCATGTCTGCAGAAAGGGACTAGGGGTACTAGTTGTGTGCAGCAGCTGAGATTTCTCTCTGAGTACAGGATTGGGTAACAGAGCCCCTGAAGCCTCAGTGGTGAGAGCCTGAAGCTATGAAGGTAAGGACCAATCCAGGTCCACAGTCTTACCTAGAAGGCACCAATCCAGAGCACAGCTGCCCCTTTCCTCCTGACTCTCCTGAGTTCCAGAAAGAAGAGAAAGGCAATCAGTGGAATGGACTGGGGCCAAAGGGAGCGTGAGAACCAAGAGGTGAGGAAATGAAAAAACTGACCATGATGCCCCTTCACATTTTAGACTTAAAATCAGTTCAAGCTGAAGGACAGGAAAAGTTTTAAATTGATCTAGGGCACGAATTTATGTTACTGTGTATTACACTGGACATTTTATAGCCGAACTAAAATTGTTCTTTGATTGCAACAAAAGGGATCTGATAACTGGAATGAATGGAGGAGTTATAGGGTCTGTTCAAGGTTTTATCCATGATCTTTCACCATAGAGACCGGGTATTTCATAGATGCCCTTTTTATAGGTATCAAGGAATAGAAAAAGTTCAATTTTGTTCCCACTCACAGATCTCAGTTCATTCAACATGCCAGTTACATAAAAACTATTAGTCTACCTTTTAAATATAATTTTACCTAAGGTTCATTTTACAGCCATGCTGATAGATGTGGCATGCCCAGTAAAGTTTCACATTTGACTACCTTGATTTTTAAAAGTACAACGGGATATATCACTGCATGAGCTGTGTGGGGCAGGGCTAGGTGAGCACACTATACTATCTTTGAAGATTACTGTCTGTGTTAGACTACAAGACATGTCAAAGGATGGGCTGGGCTGTCTTGTGCCGACACACTGCTCCCTTTACTGGCCCTATGTTACAAAGGTAGAGAGATTCTGTTAGTGAGTAAGATGCATATAAGAAAGACCTTATGGAGGAGAATCAACTGACAAGTAAATAGCTTATTACAAATGTTTATGTGACCTAAACATAAAGGAAAAATCAAAGTAACCTTTGAACTCCACTTGTAACTAGACAATACTAAAAAAAAGTAATAATAATAAAAACAAAGTCAAAGTAACCATTGAACTCTTAACTTGTAATTGGGCAGTACTAGGGAAAGCACAGCCTGTAAAAAATTATAGGAAGTGACTTTGGATCTTTCACTTTTACTTTAAAGTAGAAATATAGTATTGAAATGAGCTAGATAAAGACAGAAGAATAACAATATTAAAACTATTTTATTGCATTTGAAAAGCGTCTTGTGAGGCAACTGGTATCACACAAATTAACTATTGTACTCTTGAGAGAAGAAAATTATAATAATTAAGTAGGAAAATCTTTCAACAACGATTACCAGCCCCAAATCAAACCTACCTCTAGTCGTTGCACGTGCCACATGGGTGAGCCGACGATGGCTGCCACCAACCAGACAACACCTGCACGATGGGAAACACATCAGAATACAATTCAGCTAAGTGGAATGCATCCGTGCTTGACTCTCTCACTATCCAAACTCCCCATCTCCAGCGCCTCCCATTTCTTCTGCCCTAAACTGTCTCTTTCACCACCCTTGAAACTGTTCATGCAGGTCATCTTCAAAGAAGTGTTAAATACTAAACCCCTCTTATAATGTTCTATCGCCTATGGGGTAAAACCCACAAGTTATAGCATTGCCCGTGAAGTTCTCTCTGTCTCCTCTTTGCCTTCCATCCAAGATCTTCACATTCCAATCTTCTAATGAAGAAAGATAAGGAGGCATTGGTTTCAGTTCCCTTGTGTTGATCCTGGAAGGTTGTCAGTGATTAAAAAGTCTAGAGATCTTTAAATCATTCTAGGGAAGATGTGACATAAATCTAAAGATAACTAATTAAAACTCATGAATATTTCCTGTACTATCTTTTCATTTCCAAATATTTAAATTTTAGGATTGCAATCTTGAGTTCTTTCTGTAACCCTACAATCCAACAGTAGATAAATTTCATAGCAATAATAAATGTTTGCTCATTCCTTTCACATGATATATTAGTAAAAACTGCTGCCTTTGATCACTATGGTAGTTGCTTATCATGTGTCTGATTACTTAGTGATGTTAAATTTAAACCACTGTGAAGCACATTAACATTTTAAGTGTTCAAATATAATTACTGAGTAGAAAGATTCTTCCATTTTACTGTACTATGGTTCCGGACATTCAAATTTATAATATATCACATGGTGTGTGTGTCCTTCATTACTTGCTGAATCAGGAACAGTTGTAGTAGGATCCAAGCATGGCAGAAGCAAAATTACAGAATGGATGGAATGTGTCTCTGCAGGCACCTGCAGGACCGCTCCACATTCTCATGCCCACCGTGACTTTGCACTATTAAGTATGCATCCCCACTCCCATTTTGGGTTTCTTCTCCTGTTCTCCACTTTGTAAAGACACATTTCCTTCCTCCAATCATAATCTACCTGCCTTTGTTAGCTTAGAACCTTCTTCATTGAGAATAATGAGTTCCTAATCCATTGAATATGAATGTGACAATGCCACTGATAGGTAATGATAGATTAGCTGAATATGATATTTCAAAATTTAGGACTTAAATTGAAGAATCACATCTGCAATGGCAGGATTTTCAGTGTTTGGTTAGGGCAAATGAAGAGATGAGGGTGGTAATGCAAATAGAGGACAAAAATCCTCAAACTGTTCTCTTATACCTACAAGTTAGGCGAAACGTCACTTTCAGCATATATGGTTCTCTTTGTCCCACCTTTCCAGGGTCATGGGAGAGCTGGAGGCTCACCTAGCATTTTAAAAGCTCTTTGGTTGGTGTACTGCCACTTCATCTTGAAGGGGTGAACGAGCCCCTGGTGCCTTTCCACAGCAATGCAGGTCATTGTGAGAATTTCTGTCACAATAGCAGTAGATTGGACAAAAGGAACCATCTTGCAAATGAAGGCACCTGTAGCAAGGAGATATGACGAGTCATACAGCAAAAAAAAGTTTTGTCTGTGTCTTTGTATTTACTAACATTTGTTAGTTCCGAGCCTTTGCTCAAAAGCTTCATGACTGTAACAATATTATTGCTGCAAAATAATTGAGAAAGTTTGCATTGGCCTATGTTTTCACTCTACAGCTGTATTCTAAGTTTCCAAGTGCTATGCCACTATGTATAATAAAAAGATGGAAGAAGCGATCAGTATTTGGCTACAGACAATCAGTCAATGGATAACATCAGATCAGTGTGATTGTCATTTAGGGAAGAGGGAAGTCAGTGTGACCTAGCCTCCTGACACCTCAACTACAGAGTAACCTTTGATTGTTCTTTCCTTTTGATTCTCTGTCATATCAAAACAAATGATGAACAGTTGTCATCAAAGATTCAAGTTTTCTTTTGTTTATATTCTCTTTTTACCCCAAGTCTAAAGCTTTGTACCAATACCTGACATTTGAATTTTGGTGAACACATTCTGGGCATCTCTGCTCTTGGATCTGTCTTGCTCACTGCTTTCAAATAAACTGTTTCCAACTATCAGAAAAATAAAAAGCTCAGGGCATCAAGAGACCTCAGAGGCCAAGTGGTCCAAGTGTGCATTAAAGGCAGAAGTCTGGGCTCACCTTCTCTCACAAATGCTCTGCCCAGCTCTGCTTCAGTGCCTCCAAATGAAGCCTCCTGGATTGCAAACTCCAACCAAAGCTCTGTGCATGGTTTTCCTCCACCTGAGGCTACTACCATCTAAAATAACACCTTCAAAACAGTTCACTGCAGTCTTTGCTCAAATGGCACCAGGGGAGTTAACTCTGTCAATTTGACTGAGCCTAGGGATACCTAGATGGCTGGGAAAGACTTTGGTTGTGTCTGTGGGTATGTCTCTCATAGAAGTTAGCATTTGTATTAGAGTCAGTAAAAGAGCTCTGGTCTTTCCAGTGTGCATGCCATCATCCAATCTGTTTGGTGTATACATAGAAAGTCAAGTGGAGGATGGAAGAATGGGAGAATATTCTCTCTGCTTAAACTGGAATGTCCAGCTTTTCCTGCTCTTGGACCTCAGCACCTTTTTTTCTCAGGCCTTAAGGGTTGAGCTAGTGCCACACCACAGCTTTCCTGTTTGTCTAGCTTGCAAATAACAGACTGTGGGATGTCAGAGCCTCCATAATCATGTAAACCAACCCCTCAAAATAAGTCTCTTCTGTATGTCTCTGTAGATTCTGTTGATTTATTTTTTTCTTCTGGAAAATCCTGCCAGCAGGATCTAACAACTACATGTTTAATGACAGCCTCTACTATTCCATTTTCGTCTCCCTTTATTCACCTCTTCTATTTCCTTTTTTCATAACTTTCACCCTTTAACAAAATGAGATATATGGGTACACACAGTATATCATATATATATATTTGAGATATATGTATATTTCAAATGTATATGTACTTCTCATATACATTTATTTCAATACTGTATGATATATATGGAGAGATATAATGCTTAACTAATTTGTTTTTATTATTAATTGCAAGCCTTACTATCTATACCATAATGTAAATACCCAATAGCAAAGATTTTTCCTGTTTTCTTCACTGTTATATTCCCAACATTTAAAGGGGCAAAGTAGGCCCTCCATCAATACTTAGTGAATTAAAGAGAAGGGTTCACTAAGTGGCCCTTATTCACCAAAGGAATCCCATTCAATTTTGAAGAGATTCTAATAAAAAGGTTATAACCACTTCTAGCATTGCTTTCAGTCTCAGTGCTAAGTAACTA